ATGGACCGTAAACATATCTCAAGTATTAAATCACAGCTTTAATAAATTTCAGAATAAAATATGATTTAATTATTAAAGAAAATTACACAAAGTGCCAGAGTACGCAGCCTCCTCCCTGCCTCACACTCATAAACACCAATGATGTTTATATTAAACCAAAGCCCTCCTCCTGTCATTCCCAGAATCCTTTGTTGTTGCTCCCAGCATGCTTACAGAAGGAGGAGCTAAATGTCAGAGGTTATAGGATAGAAATTCCCCCTCGCCCACTCTGTCTCTCCTCTGTCACTCTTGTTCTTCAGTTTCAAAGCAGATATTTAGTTTTTATACAGGGACGTGGTCGTACCCTCCAGTGTATGTATGAGTGTTTTGACTCACTTCATCTTAGACCAGAAGGTCTCCAAAGATTTCCAGTAAAACATCCTGACTCCTTCTCCCTTAATTAAATGTCTGTGGTGAATACTGTTGACTTCTTTGCAGGTCTGTATTGATTGAGGGGAAATTTGAATTCAGCAGTGTTTGCTCTGTGCAGCACAAAAGGTCAGATGTCAGATGTGCAGAGCTGGTTGAAGTGTTTATATTCAAATTATCTATGAAAAGATGTTAACTGTGGCAGCTAATCGTTAGGTACACTTTCAAAACTTGTATCTTACGTAGAAACAATTCATGTAAATTTACATTAATTAATGTGTTGCTCCAATTAATTTTCTTCATTTTTTTTCTAGTGTGGCAAGTAAACTAGTTTTTAAAGAATATATTAATCTCTGGCACCACCTATTGGACAATAATTATATCATTCACAGGTCTCCATGTAGACTAAAATCAAGTCTATGCAAATTTCCACCCATTAAGTGCATTGGAAACGCTATTTTTAAATCTATACATTTCAGTATAGGAAAAGACTGTAAAACGATTTCCTCTAAAATATTATATATATTTATATATATTATATATATAAATTGTGACATAGTGTACACACAATAGTAACACACTACAATTAGAATATCTTTAAAATTAAAAAATACAAACCACGTTTTACTCACCAAAACTTCTGATTGGTTGTACACAAAACCCGCCATCCTCTTTTATCCAAGCGTTCCAGTTCCAACAACAAGCCCTTATCTACGTCTTTTCATGCTAATGCTGAAAGTCCAGTCTGTCCTGTCGTACTTATCACATACGTTTTAAATCGCTTGAGGTTGAGAATGTTCGCTCGACAGTGGAGCAGTGGAAACAGAGAAAACTTAATTTTCGAGCGTGGAAGTTGCTTGATACCGTTTACTAGATTCAAGGACGTGTGTTCTTTCATCATGCAGTCAGTCTATAAGGCCTTAATATGCCGTTTTGATGCCAACCCAAAATCTGATTGCTTAAATAAACAATCGTTGCCATTCGTTTTAGTTTCCCAGCGCCAACGCTACAAATTGTTAAGGTCTTAGGGCTGATTTCTTTCAACCTGGCAACGCATGAGCCGAAATATGATTGGCTAAAAAAACAACAACAACTCGAGTACTGGTCTGGAAGCTGCTCAACCATGTGACCAACCAATGCTGATAACGAGAATGAATGGAGAAGAGCATAATACTGTGTATTATATTATAAATATATTGACTAATAAGTCACTGATTAGGTCAGCAGAGAAGGCTTTGCCTTATTGGTACTCGATAAATGCTAAGGTGAAATAGAGAATTTGAATTATTTTTATGTGGGTTTTTTTTTTGCATGTTTGCATTTTTTTCCTCCATTCCTTCTAAATTCTCTGCTCATAGTTTTGGGTTAACGGTTAAAAGCTAAAAGACTTGTTGGTCTAACTTGGTTTAGATGATGAAGGGCAGTAAATACCTGGAATAGCTAAAAACAAAACCTAAACGAACAAGAAAATAAACCTAGGTTGTCTCAAATTTCTTAAGTAAAACAAAAGTCAAATAAGTTATAAATATCTAGGAAAAATAGATGATGTTAGGACCTGTTATACTTTTAAAAAGACTCAAAGTAAATTTTATATCAAAACACTTTATTGATCTGATATCACAAAATCCAAAAACAGTATAAAAACCATGAAACAGGAGAATCAGCATCAAAGGAGAAGATTACCACATTCAGACTCATAATCTGCTGCATCTCCCACTGAAATGCATACATGTCACATTTAAAAGTGCACTTGTGCTCCAGGACCATTTCTGAAATAAATAAGAATATTTACAAACTCACAGTTCAATTAACACCACACACACACAGGCACACACACACACAAACTATAATTAAAGTGGAGCTGCTGGGTTGGAATCATCTGGTGACAGTTCTGTTAAAAACAGTTGGAGCCTCAGCTGTAGGCCACTTGTGAACAAGTAGTGGTTAGACTTTATTTAGTGGTTCGAGTTTTAGAGCTGTAGTCAAAAGTACAGCAGCTCAGTGGCTCCAGAAGAAAAAAAAAGTATATATTTAGATTTCACACTTCACATTAACAATGAGGCTTCACTGTCTGATTTAGGCTTCCACCATTAGTGGAGCTGGATGGTGCTTACTAAACAGTCATCCTCATCTTTGGTCTCATGTTCATAATAACCGATGTCACCTGAGGTTTTATTGGATGCTTGGATCACAGCACCGTGCAGGCACCAGAACGAGGCCCACGGGCTCCTGGGAGAGGAGGTTTCCGCTGGTCTGCACCTCTGTTTGCACCTTGGTTGCCGCTCTCAGCAACAGCAGCTGATTGAGGTTCTCCTTGAACTGTGCCCTCTGCTGGTGTCTGGTCACTGTTGTTGGTCTGCTTTGACCTGGACAGTCGCCGAAAGATGGAGAGCTGAGGAGCAGAACCTGGAGTTAGATCCGGAGAACCTGATCTGTATCATAATTATCATCAATTTCATCTTTCCTCTTCATCGTTCAAGCGCTGCCTTCGACTCCTCTCCTGAATCTGTACTACATTAACGAGGTCATTTTTCTCCATTAAGGCTTAAAACCATCCTCTCCTATCATTGCTGCTCTCACACTTTTGATGAATGGCTCGCAAGGGGAAACATGTCATCTGAAAGAAAGATGATTTTCTAAGTGGTTTTAGATGAGCACACTTGTCTTGACTCTGCCGCTACTTCATGGTCACGGCCTTCGTGCTTTTGGCTACATATATATTCCAAGCACAAATTCTCACTTAGGCTAACAGATCTGACAAAGATCCAGTGGAGCATGACAACATCCAAGGCATCAGTGTGATTTGACTATATTTTTTTCTCTTAAAGTAAAGAAATTTTTGAGCCAAGAAAATCATGAATGTGTATCTGACTTCACCAAAGCGTTGCAAACAATGACAGCTTTAACATTTATGGTTATTATGTTTAAAACAGCCTCACAGCAGCCCTTCAAGAACGACTCTCAGAGAACCTGCCTCATTCAGCCACACAACCGAGACAAGATAGCTTTGATGGTTAGGAAACTAGTCAACGATACAACAGAAAACAACAACAACACTGGTACAGTATAGTAAGAAGACTAGAAATATCTATTTTAGGTTAGCACAAAGTAATTATGTCCAAATAAAATGACCCTTTATTTATGATCAATAGATATCACTACCAACTGAAATGGTCTCGTGTACCTCATAAACTGAAGTTGTCGTCTTAAATAACAGAATTTGAACACAAATTTCATCACAGCAACACTGCACATATACAATATCTAGAAGTCAAACTGGTCTGGTCCTATTTACCTCACTAACTGTCAATATATTAAACAACAAAAGAATATAAAAATGTTAACTGTAAAGAGTTCCTTTCTTTACAGAAACACTGAAGAAGAAGTTTTTCCCACGTTCTGGTTGAGCACCTGAATGTCACCTAGGTTGCAGGGACATGGCTCACACCCAATGGGTTTAGACGCATACCGCCACCTGCTGTTCTACAGTGTGTAACCTCATGGTAGGACCACTGACTTTTTGAGATAAAGGCTTTGATGCGTGATTCTTTATGTTAACCGATGCAAATGGTCAAGCATTTGTATCAAGTTTAAATCAACTCACGATGCATCGTTAGCTGTCGCTCTGAAGTATATATTGAGTATTTAAAATAGTTTAATTTAGGGGCATTCCAGCCCTCATATATGTTTAAACCTAAGTAGAAACAGTTGTTAATATATTATATAAAATCCTGCCTTTACTACCTTTTTGGTGGATCCTGATTGGCTCATTGTGTTGCTGTCTGTTGTCCCATTGGCTGGTTTGGTGTCTTCTTCTTTCTTCTCTTCACACATTTCAGGATTCTCAGTAACCTCAGCTGTCAATGAGACCAGACATTTGGTGACACAACATTTTTTATGTAATAAAATATCTTTTCTAAGAAATGTTTTTTTGTATTTTAGTGTTTTTGTAGGAATAGCAGCCCCAATCTTTGATAACTGCAGTGTGGGCCACATCTTTGCCAAAGGTGGCCCTAGTCTGGTTCACTGGAAGTTTCAAAGTGGTTATACTTAAGACTGGCGACCCACATTTTTAACACCAGATTTTTTTTTCAAATGTGTGTTCTTTAGTTTTGTTTTAGGATGAGCAACCTTCTGAAACCACGAGTTGATCCTCACTGACCTCTCTGCTCTCCGTCAGGAACACACTCCTCCTTAAGCTCTTCCAGCTCCTGGTGAAAGTGGATTTTTTACACACAGTATTAACATCAACAGTCAGTTAGTAAAATCAAAAACACACACACACACACACACAGAGCTTTATTTTTTACCCCCACAGGATGATCTTCGGTGGACTTCTCTGCCAAGTCTTCCAGACTTTGAGAGGAAGGTTCTTCTGTTTCCCCTGTTGTGTCATTCTCCTCATCCTCTTCTTCTTCCTCTACCTCCTCCTCCTCCACATTATCAGCAACATCATCCTCATCCTCAGTTGGGCTCCATTCTTTACCGAATCCTTTTGTCAAATCCTTGCAAATAAAAGAACGACCGACAAAAGAAATACACTTCAAATCTAACAGATCAAATATACTTCACTGCACAAAAACGTCACCACGTGAGGATCAGTTTATACAATTTTGCGATATATATAATTATATCAGTACTAATAAATTAGAGTATTACTAGAAATAATCCTAACAAAATTATGTATTAATTATTGGGATTGGTGTTATTATAACACACGGTGATAACAGTAACAATGATAATAATCATTATGATACTGATGATAACAATAATGTTGATGGTGATATTTATGAATTGAATGTAGGGATGACTCGATACTCGGATCTGTATTGGTCCAAAAATTTCAAGAATGTACATCGAAAACAAATGACTACAGCCCGTCCAATCAGAGAGCTAGGCCAAAACACTCAAGTTAGAGGTGAAAAGAAGGTATCCCATTGATATTGGTATCAGCAGATACGCAGATAAGTTGCAGTATCGGACATAAAGTTGTATGGAACCATGCCTTATTATTTACAACGATGACGATGATAATATTGATGTTATTAACAGGACCACGTTTGTTATCTTTATGCTAATAACGATAACAATAATAATTACGATCACGTTCATTACGCTGCCAACAGTGATGAGATGAGATGTGTTTGTGATGATCACAATAACGTTGAGGCAAATGTATATAATAACGACATGGTGATGATGGTGCCAACAGTTATGATGATGTTGTTATGATTGTGATGGGAACCATGTTGATAATCATGACAATAATAATGAAAAACAACAGAAGACTAAGGAAACACAGACTTTTATTACAAAAGAGGGTAAAATAAAGGATGAGAAAGCAAACAAAGAAGTAGATTCAATGAAGAAACACACATAAAAAAAGTGTGTGTGTGATGACAGCTGCACACAATAACAACATGCAGAAAAAATAGAAGCGATCCAAGCAGGAGGATGACATTAAAAATACATGAGCTTCAGACACACAAAGGCACAACATGTGATCTATTATAGCAGGCTGGAGCGACAAGTGGATAGAGGGTTAATGAACAAAAAAAAAAAAAAAAGAGAGAGAGATTACTTCAGCACCCCAAAGGACTCCAAAGAAAAAGAAACAAATAATTTAGCAAAAGTTCCTTGAAAACAACAGATGGAACGACAGGTGAGACGAAAAAGAGTCAAAATAAATAATGAAGAATATTTTTCTGTAGGAGATAAGACCAGTAGGTTTAACTGAAGGAACAAGACTCTATAAAAATCAGGGTTCAAAGTCAATAAATCCTTCTTTTAAACTTTTTTCCGTAGCTTCTCAGCACTTTGCCCGAAAAACAAGTTTTTACCCCGGCTACGATTGTTCTCCCAGTATGGACAGACTTCAGTATTGCCAGTCACCATTGTGTCATTTTTGTGTCTTGAAACTACATTGTCACCAGTGAACACTGAACTTGACTTGTCTGATGGCTCCTCCCTCTGCGTCAGACTTTATATTCTCTCAGATCTGGCACAGTCACAGGTGTTTGTTGATTCTTTTTTTATAATTTTTATAACTGGGTTATTTCAAGTTGAGGTACTGAGGTAAGACATCTCCCCAAAACTCCTCTGACTCTTCTCCTCTCCTCTGACCTTTCACCCCTGACCTGTGCTTCTGTTTAAATTTTGCACTTTGTTTTTTGCCTTTTTTCTCTTCTTCTTCTTCCTCCTCTTCCTCCTCCTCTTCTTCTTTCTCCTCATCCTCTTCTTCTTCCTGCTCATCCTCTTCTTCTTCATCGTCTTCCTCCTCCTCATCCTCTTCTTCTTCCTCCTCCTCTTTTTCTTCTTCCTCTTCCTCCTCCTCTTCTTCTTCCTCCCCCTCTTCCTCCTCCCCCTTTTCTTCACTATCACTCTCTTCCTCTGACTCCTCTGCATTCTCACTTTCCTCCTCCTCTTCTTCTTCTTCATCTTCCTCTCCTTCACTCTCCTTTTCTGCATCTGTCTCCTCCACTTCTTCCTCTTCTTCTTCCTCCTCCTCACATTCATTTTTACTCTCCGCACTCTCACTTTCATTCCCTGATTCCTCCTCCTCCTCTTCCCCTTCATCCTGGGTGCTACTATCTGATTTTGCCTCTTCCTCCTTGTCCACAGTCGCTACATCACTCTCCTCTTCTTCATCCTCACTTTCCTCCTCGCCCTCCTCTTCATTTTCCACCCCTGTGTCTTTACTGTCTTCGTCTTCTTCCTCCTCCTCTACATCACTTCTCACCTCACTCTGGTCTCCCCTTTCACTTCCTGTTGCCTTGCTTTCTTCTTCTTCTTCTTCTTCTTCTTCTTCCTCAGCACCACTCTTGTCCTCCTCCTCTTCCTCTCCTACAACAACACTTTTGCTGTCTATATCTTTACTCTCCTCCTCACTTTCACTTCCTGTTGCCTTACTACCTTCTTCCTCCTCTTCCTCATCCCTGGTGTCAGTGTCTGACTTCTGACTCCATTTCTCCTCTTCCTCCTTCTCTTCTTCTTCCTCCTCTACCTCACTTACATCTGCACTCGTTCGCTGCCCTTCATCGTCCTTTCTTTCCTCCTCTATCTGTCTGACCACCTCAGACCGTTTGTGCTCCTCACTCTCCTCCTGACTCCTTCCTCCAGGGCTATCTGGAGCATTTATCACTCCTTCATTGACTTCAGATTTCCGGCTGAGATCTGCGGCACATGAATCGGAGTCAAGGTTGTTGAAGTCCCTCACTCTGTCTACGACAACACTGCTTCTAACCTCAGAAGGAGGAGAAGACATGGAGGAGGTGTGGGTTCTGGAGGCCAGAGCTGCTCCAGCTGCCAGCGAGGCGGCACCAGCGAGGAGCCCGAGGCCCAGAGTCGTCTTCTGAAGTGGACTTGACTTCACTGACTCTGCTGCTTTTTTATTTTTCTCATTCTTGTTCTTTTTGGACAAATCTGTTTTAGATTTTGAGCTCTTCTGCCCCCGTGGAACCTGAAATGACCTCCCCTCCCCTGATCTCTCCTCTACATCTTCGCTCCCTCCCACCCTTGCTTTACCTTTCACACTTGCTGCTGTTTCCTTGGTTCCAGAACTTTCGCCTGAATCTGTTTTCTGCCTCTTGACAACCTCAATTACTTTGCTTTTACCCATGTCCTGTGATCGCTTTTCCCTGTTCCGCCTCACTGCCTTCTGACTGGCTGAAGCACTGAGGCTCAGTGGACTCTCTGCACCTAACCTACAGCAAAGTGACTCGGCTTCGCTCTTGCGAGACAGGGACGTGGAAGAGAGAGTGCTTCCTCTTAAGAGACCGCTCTCTTTCATTTGCTTGTCTACCGTGGCCTTACCGTGTTTTACTCTCCTCTACATCCAGCAGCAGAAAGGAAGCACAAAAGTGGAAAACAGGAAGTCATGCATCAGAGAAAAGAAAAGACATGCAAACAACTGAGAAGATGAAGATGGTCAGGATGGGAAAATATGAAAAAATGTCTAATTATTAGATAATTGACAAATATAATTCTGAAGGACTGTTATTATTATTTATTATTATTATTATTCATAATGATAAATATAATATTAAATCATAGCCTTTAGTAAAATGTCCAGTATCTTAAGCAACATTTTTGCAAATTTGAGCTAATTTTAGCATAAGAGAGATTAATTTTATTTAAAATCTCTGACTTCTACATTTCAGTGAAAAAATTACTATTAGAGACAAAAAGGTAAACCATTAGCTACCTAGCTAGTTTAAGATTAATAACAATATAAATGTTATTATTACTACTACTTCAACTACTACTACCACTATCACTACTACTAATAATAATAATAATAAAGTATATTAATATAATAATAATAAAAGTTGAAACCAATTGATATAACTAATTTAAATTAAAATAAAATAGCTACAACTTGTTGTTAATATTGGATAAAATGATCCTTAATAAATATTAGAAAATTCACTGTTGGTCAAAGAATTTGGTGAAAAGTCAGAAAAGGTCACAAACAGGCTGTAAGCAAAAAAAAGTAATAAGAATTTTGCACAAAAAGCCAAAACCAAAAGAGCAGTTCACACAAACTGAACAGGAGTGTGAAGAAGAGAAGAAGAGTGTCAGCTACCTTCTGAACAGGAGACAGGCTCAGACTCTTGTCTTCAGGATCCATCTTCATCACATGTGTCTGTAGGAGACACAGAGAGGAAAGATCGTTTCCACTCATTCAGTAGGAGAAAAGCTCAGATATACTGTAGAATTGTTTGTTCTTAATCTCACCATGTTGAGAAAGTCCGTGGTTTCGCCCAGTCCTTTGACGCTCTCTGTGTCACTCAGACTCTCAACAGCACTATCTCTATCGCCCTCTGTCTGCACTGACATAACAGGACAAAAACAAACTGTTATTCTTGCTTTGACTGTTTTTTTAAAGTTAGCCTTTTAAAAATATTTTTGGACAAGTATTATTAAGATGTTTAGCTATTGTGGTTACCTTCTTCCTGTATGCTGATATTAAACTATTTTATTTTGGCAACTTGTGGCGGTTGGCTTTTTTTTTTAAAACAATTTTCAAACATTTTTGGTTATTTCTCATAGTAGTTATTTTATGTCATATTGTATTTTTTAGCAAATATAGCCTAGGTTATTTTGACAATTATACATATGACACAATATGAAATTTAATCAAAACATCTTTGTGTAAAATTCTCCCTTTTTAGTTTTAATTAGTTATATTATTTGTATAACTTTTAGTTCTGTGTCAAAACACTTAGTCTTAACATTTAGCTTTTTCTAGTACAGATGGCAAGGTTTTCACTATTTTTGCAAAGGATTTGTCAGTAAAAGACAGGAGTTCAGTGATTTTGTTTCCAAAGACAAAGCTCACAGTTCTGTTCTAGCTACTGCCTAAGAAATAGTAAAACCAAGGACAGAAGCAGACGAAACATTTACCCTGCTGCTGAGGCTCCACTCTCTCTGCTCTGTGGCTGCCGTTCGTCAGCTTCCTGTGGCTCAGCTCAGGTGGAACCAGTCGAAGAGGAACCGCACCAAACTGATCTGGAGATCTATCCTGGTGAGAAAAAAGAGAGAGAGTCATCAGCACCATCACTACACAGCAGACAAGCGATTGTAAATTATTTTGTAAATTATTTTCTTAATATTATGGCCTCATTTTTATAAACAATACATTTATTCTCACCCTCTCTCTCCTTCGAACCCTGGCAGAGAGACTTCTCTGCAGGGTGGACAAGCCACCCGTGTCTCCCAGCAGCTCCACGTATGGCTTCTCCAGGGGATCTTCCGTCACGTCGTCCTGCTCCAGAGTCACAGTGTCACTGCGGTTCTGATCCCGGGGTCGTGCCAGGACCACCATGTGACATCCCCCACACACAGCCTGAACAAAAGAAAACACTTTTTTAAACCATGGTTCTTTTAAAACACTCATATACAGTCTGTTGTATTACTTTTTTAATACCCACTAATTGAACGTGGTATTCGAGGAAACGTGGACACAGAGTTGGTTTGAACTGGTTTGCAAAATTCTCTTCTCCAAGTCCCAGTTTTCCATGTCTGCCATCTCCAAAGGTGTACAGGAGACCTTCATCTGAAGATTGAAAAAACATCTATTTTATTGGAAGCAGCCATGAAATGATTTGACAAAACAGAACTGAAATTGCCTTCAAGTACTAGCTGTAGGTTCAACAAAAAATAAAGCAAGTATAGTGAACTATTACCAGTGATGAGAGCGGTGTGGTTTTCCCCACAGTCCACATGACTGACGTGTCCTTTTTTGAAGTGTTCCACCAGACGGGGGACCCGAGACTCAAAAATGAACGTGCCGTGACCTAGCTGACCAAACTGACCCAGGCCGAAGGTATACACTTCGTCCTCTAGACAGAAAAAAAAATATTCACACAGATATCTTTCCGTCTGTTCCTTTAGCTAAAGCTTGTGTTAGCCTCCACCTTCAGCCTCAGACTCTCACCTGTCAGAGCCACGGTGTGTCCTCCTCCACACATCACCTGAGTCACACGCCCCTTGATGGTCTTCACCTGCTGAGGAACTCTGTGTTTGGAGAGCTGTTCTGTACCCAGGCCTAGTTTACCGCTGTCTCGCTCACCAAACGTGTACAGAGCGCCATCAACTGAACAACAGTGGAAAAACATTTGACCAATGTTTGTGTTTTACATGAGATTCTGCATCATGAGCCTAACCCTTTGGTCTACGGTAATAGCTAACTCCTGGAAAGTTCTACTTCACGTCTGAGCTAACCTTAAGCTACACATGGGCCACATGGATTTTATACATTTCTTGGCTATTCAATCCACTGCTCACTAATATTAACATAAGTCATCTGCTGGCTAGTCTTCTTCTTTTCAACCGTGACCTTTGAATCCGTTTTCTGTCTTGTAAGGCAGTTTATAAAATATTAAAAATGTATCAGGTCTAACCTACATACAAAGCTTTTCTATTAATTTGCGACACAGCACATCGATTCAGGTTAGGTCATCTTGCACTCACCTGTGACTAAGGCAGAGTGGTAGTATCCACAGGACACCCAGTTGACCGGTTTTCCCACACCGACCTCTTGTGGCAAAGACGAGTGACTCTCCTTCCCCAAACCGATCTGACCCTCTGTGTTGTCCCCCCACATGAACAGCTTACCGCTCTCTAGGACAACAAAACTGTTACGGTAAGTGTTTAAGTGATTTTTGTCTCAACATTTTAAAAATGAAATAAAATATTTTTTGATCATTTTAGTCGTTATTAAGGCTTAAAGGAAGTTGAGTTCCATTTGGTATTTACTTCTATTTTGTTTGTTTTTATATTTTTTTATTTTTTCAAATAGAACTTTTGTTGATTGCCTGATTTTTTATTCATTAATGTTTAATCACTATGTGGCAGTTACAGCATATTTGTGTTATGTTTTTCCAACTGAAATATAAAAAATTAACTTATTATTGTAGTTAATATTTTAACTGCAATAAAAAAAATCAGTATATAATATAAAATGTGAATAACAGAAATATTTGTTTCTTAATCACGTCAGTACGGATATGAATCTCACCAGTAAGAGCAGCTGACGTGTTGGACCCAGCAGCCAGCATTTTGATTGGCCCATGTGAATCAAAGAAGTCGAGGTGCTGAAACGATGTCCTCTCCTCACAGTGACCCAGCCCCAACTGACCCTCACTGTTCCCCCCAGAGGCGTACACTTTTCCTTTAGCTGCAAAATAAAAATTAAATGCTTCAGAATAAAAGCGTGAAAAATGATAAGAATGATGTTTGTGTCGCTGACCGGTGCTAATGAGGGTGTGGTTTCTTCCACAGGCCACCAGCTGAACTTTCTCAGACTTCAGAGCTGGAACCATGTGAAAAACATTTGAATTAACACTTTTGAATGAACCCGCACTGGAACACAAAAGCACATGTAAACGGAATTAACAGAATAACTGGCCGCAGCTTCTACATTTCTAGCTATTGTTTATCCAATTAGGAAAAAATAAAGCTATTTGGGATTTTTTTCAATAATTCAATTATAAGTTACATTTCACAGGAAATTTCATGTCCCCTTTCCCGGCTCATCACAGCTAATTTTTCACTTATTTCCCAGGCTCTAAATACAGTAGTTTACTTAATTTTGGGTAAAAATGAGTTTCCTTCTTCAGGCTGAAGGAGGATTAACCTATGAGGGACTCCTCTTCAATTCACCACCATGAAGCTACAGGCATATGTTTGTGGCAACAATAAGTAAGAAAGAACTATCAATAGACTGACCTTTGACACACGTGGGCTTGTTCACAGTCACTTTGGATCCCAGACCCAGTTGGCCCCAGTTGTTGCTACCAAACATGAAGAGTTTCCCATTTTCTGTTGGGTGGAAAATGGAACAACTGTAGCTTTCAGCTGGATTTGTAAAGCTTTTGGACTTTTGTATAAAATGAATTTGGTTCCCATGACTCTCACCTGTTATTAAGGCAGTGTGTTCATCACCACAGGCTATTTTGCATGGAATGTCATTTTTTAACCAGAATTTGCTAGGAACATTGTCAGCAAATTTGCTCTTTCCAAAAGTAAAAACAGCTCCTGATTCTGAAAAGAATGTGAAATATATTTTGATTACAGAAAAATATCAATAAAAAAAAAAAGACTCCCATCATATTTAAGGCAGCATAAAAAAGAATAAAGTTGGCCGGAAATCTTTTAAAGGTTAGCCAAAAGCTAAAAGGTTACTGGAGTTGATAGCAATACCTAAAATGACAGGCACATTATTTAGCCAAAAATACAAAACTAAAAATTAAAGCAAAAATGTACGTTAAATTAGCCATACTTTAGCCAAAAATGATCTAATTCAGGAAAATAGAGCATAAATAAGTTAACGTATTGTAGAACTAGCTTAGTATTTAACTAAAATTCAATAAAGTAAAATGAACCAAACAAGCTGTTAGAAGACGCTTAAAAGTTACAGACAGAAAATTTACAAAATGCGGTAGCATGCTAGAAATAATAGGAGGACATGATTACTTACTTAAAACTAGGACACAGGCGTAAAGGACTAATGCAAATTATGAAATTATGACTAACAATTTCATTTAAATGTGCCACGCTTGCAATTGATTAAAAATAAAATATAAGCCAGACACTGAGACATAAAGCTTAATATCCACAAAAGCATCTACAGTAGAACAGAGCCTTGACTTTGCAGAAGTTAAAGTGTCTTTTTGTTTGTTTTTTTAAATAGCCCTCATGCTAAAGCAATAGCTAGCCTGGTTGGTAATGACTGGCATTGTTATAATGTATTTAAACTTTTATTTTAGGGTCCTTTGTAATGAGTTGGCTGTTGAACTGACCTGGTATCTCGTCCTCACTCTCCCCTGCCATCTCTGCACGGCTTTAATCCGCTTTACTGCTGCTGCCGCTGCTCTTGTTTACCACTCTGACAACCCGGAAGTAAACAATACGTCTCCTAAGTTACGACGCAGGCTGCGTAGGGCGACTTTTATTTTAATTAGTTTTTTCATTTTGTAAAACTGATTAGCGTCATTTAAGTTACTACTAGCAGCGTCTTAGTATGACGTATTTTAAAATAAACAAAAAAGAAAGAAAAGCAATAGGATTAAGCAAACGAATATGACAATTGGACCGACTGCACAAAGTCGTATTGCTTTAAAGCTAGCCAACACAACACGGAAATAAGAGAGAAGTAATTGTACCACTTCTGGATTTCAAAACAAAATGTAACCAGCCAAAATAAAACATGGATGGATGGATGGATGGATGGACGGACGGACGGACGGACGGACAGACAGACAGACAGACAGAGAGACAGATGGACAGATGGACAGATTGACAGATAGATAGACAGACAGACAGACAGATAGATAGATAGATAGATAAATAGATAGATAGACAGACAGACAGATAGATAGAGAGATAGATAGATAGATAGATTATATAAAGAATAAATGTACTGTTTCAGTCAGTAATGCAAACAAAATGTTGTGATTGGGTTTAACCCAGTAAGGGTTAAAGAGCAATTGTTTAAACAACTAACTACCACTAATATTAACTGTACAAATACCTTCTATTCTATGGTAAAAATGACTGCCTTTATTCTTATTATTCAACCTTTTATTTGTTTTGATGATTAAAACAACTGATTAGGCTAAGATTGCTGAATCTTTTTCTCTTGTTTCGCCTTTAACTCCAAAACAATGTTTTCATTAAAGTTAAATTTCAGTTTTTCAATTTATAAATAATAATCCAAATAATGTCCTATGCTGAAAATATATGCCATTGGTTAATATCAGTAAAATAAATATTATACACACATGCAGTCTGTGTTATTGACTAGTTCAATAACAATCGTTTTTTTTATGATGATTTCTTATGCTTATTTACTGATTTATAAAAGAGAAAATAATCTATGGTAACTTGATTGTTTGATAACATTAACTCGAACATATCTGTTGTATGAGATAATATTCAACACAGTGAAATGTAAGCTATGTATGAAGCTAACATTCACCTTCATTCATTAGTGGAGGACCATAAAGCTGCAGCGATGTAACAGCCTTATAAATATTTATTTGATGGTTTGATGGAGTGAGACCAACCAGGACAACACAAGTCTTTTCAAGTCTTTATTTATCAGTAAACAACAACAGAACAAAAGGATTGAAACAAGACTGAGGGAAAAACTCAACACTCAAGATCAACTGTAGGCTTCAGGACTTGTCTAAAAGGACATGTTAGGCTGGACGGTCACCACAGTCTCGTTGCCCATTCAATATTCTTCTCCCTCTTCCTCACCTTCGTCCCCAACGGTGTCAGTTCCCACCTCCTCATAATCCTTCTCCAGAGCTGCCATGTCCTCCCTGGCCTCAGAGAACTCTCCCTCCTCCATTCCCTCTCCGACGTACCAGTGGACGAAGGCCCTCTTAGCATACATCAGGTCAAACTTGTGGTCCAGTCGAGCCCAGGCCTCTGCGATAGCAGTGGTGTTGCTGAGCATGCACACTGCCCTCTGGACTTTGGCCAGGTCTCCTCCAGGAACCACAGTGGGAGGCTGGTAGTTGATGCCCACCTTGAAGCCCGTGGGGCACCAGTCCACAAACTGGATGGTGCGTTTGGTCTTGATGGTGGCGATGGCAGAGTTCACATCTTTGGGAACCACGTCTCCACGGAACAAAAGACAACAGGCCATGTACTTGCCGTGGCGAGGGTCACATTTCACCATCTGATTGGCCGGCTCAAAGCAGGCATTGGTGATCTCGGCCACTGACAGCTGCTCGTGGTAGGCCTTCTCCGCAGAGATGACTGGAGCATAGGTGGCCAGAGGGAAGTGGATATGAGGGTAGGGCACCAGGTTGGTCTGGAACTCCGTCAGGTCAACGTTCAGGGCACCGTCAAAGCGAAGGGAGGCAGTGATGGAGGACACAATCTGCCCGATCAGCCTGTTGAGGTTGGTGTAGGTGGGGCGCTCGATGTCCAGGTTCCTACGGCAGATGTCGTAGATGGCCTCGTTGTCCACCATGAAGGCACAGTCAGAGTGCTCCAGGGTGGTGTGGGTGGTCAGGATGGAGTTGTACGGCTCCACCACAGCAGTGGACACCTGGGGCGCTGGGTAAATGGCAAACTCCAGTTTGGACTTTTTTCCATAGTCAACGGAGAGGCGTTCCATCAAGAGGGACGTGAAGCCGGAGCCAGTGCCTCCTCCAAAGGAATGGAAGATGAGGAAACCTTGTAGACCGGTGCACTGATCAGCCTGACAGACAATCGCCCAGACAAATACATCAGCTTTTCAGACAACAGTTACATCGTGTTTGATCTCAGGTATGAAATGTTGATCAGGTCACCAGTTTCCTTATCCTGTCCAGGACCATGTCGATGATCTCCTTGCCGATGGTGTAGTGACCTCGGGCGTAGTTGTTGGCTGCGTCCTCCTTTCCAGTGATCAGCTGCTCGGGATGGAACAGCTGACGATAAGTGCCTGTCCGGACTTCATCTGAAATGTGGAAAATCATCAGATATTAGGGAGGTGGTTCCTGAAGGCCACACATGAAGGTGATGTGTCCGTGACCTGACCTATGACTGTGGGTTCCAAGTCCACAAAAACAGCTCTGGGCACATGTTTCCCAGCACCAGTCTCACTGAAGAAGGTGTTGAAGGAGTCGTCCCCTCCTCCAATGGTCTTATCGCTGGGCATCTGACCGTCCGGCTGGATGCCGTGCTCAAGGCAGTAGAGCTCCCAACATGCATTGCCAATTTGGGCGCCAGCTTGACCAACGTGGACAGAGATACACTCACGCTGAAGGAAAAGAAGTTGAAAACATGCTAGTTTGGTCACATGAAGAAAAAACAGAACGGAACAGTGCAGTCAAACAAACCAGACGGATCAGGGAGGAGAGTTCTGCTAAGAGAGGACCTGTAACTGGAGCCTCAGCTCACAGCTTGGTAAGTGGGTCAAAGTCCACTACTCTAGCTCTTGTGAGGAACTCTTCAACAGGATTTTATTTTTGCTTGTACGTGTTTTCAATTAAGAACATGGTTTTATCCTTAAAGCTAATATGTACGGACGATCCCTGTCACTTTTACAGAAACATAACTACCTGGTTGCTACCTTACAATGTTTTAATATATTTTAGGTGAAGGTCACATTTGTCTTTTTAATCACCAATGGGCTAAACTTTAAAGTTTGTGCTGCTTTCATTTTTTGTCTTATTTTAGCTAAAACTAATCAATCTTCAGGCTGACTTCTAGTCTTGTCTCTCAGTCACCTTTGACCCTCATTAATATAATAGGGCCATCTCTGAATGTATTTGAATTTATATATTTATCTTAAGAAAATAAAATAGATATTATCAGCCCACATACTGTAGTTCCAATTTGAGCATCGTTTTTTAGCCATTTGTGCAACAATTAGTTTTTGTCAATTTTCTCAACAAATACTGAATTCACCATTCTTTCTTGTCGTTACTCTATCACTAGGTGGCTCTGTGACTCCTGGACTAATCTTTAGTGGTTTCTGTTTTTAGTATCCTGGCTAACTTTGGGGAACTCTTCACAATTTGACTTAATTTTGCTAACATTAGCTGCCACTTATTAATTTTATAGCCAATCGTTAGCCATATTCTCCCTTTTCTCCTTCCTTACCTAATTATCTGTGTTTTTTGTATTTTGTCCTGTGTCACAACAAACCCTTTGACATTTGGTCTTAAAAATGTTTCAAATTTTTAACTAGAACGGAATCTCATGTTGAACTTTTCATTTTTAACTATTTAATTATTCACTATTTTCAGTTAACTCATGCACTTATTTAAACTTAAACCTAATCGGTAGTCCTACAACACCAGTTTTCTTGTGTCTGATCGGCAAATATATGATGTGATACAAAGGCATAGTTAAACATTCGTCACTTAACAATTGTACACAATAATTAATATTAAATTTTAAACTCAGCCTTTGGTTCAACAGTGTACCAGTGAAAATGCATCCATGTGGGAACAGTAAGCAGTAAAATCAGTCATCCTCACCATGTTTCCTTCGTAGAACAGGTCCCTTTCGTCACTTGAGATGAGTGGCTGGGGACGTAGTGCCAGGTACGAGGGCAGGAAGCTGCTTTATAGTACAGTGTTGCCAGGCAACAATCCGGCATGTTGTGGAAACTAAGAGGAGCTGGTGTTGCACACACACACACACACAGAAACACACTAACTTTTTCAGTTCTAAAGGTGACAAGAAAATGTCTGCAAAAAAAAACAAAAAACAAAAAAACAATTCCAGCATTATTTCCTCCTGTAGAAGAATCCAAGGAAGAATGACTGCAGATGATTAACCAACAACAATAGTTGGGCCGTGAAATGTGACACTTTGTTTGAGTTTTAACTTCCACAGCAGGGACAAAATGGTGCTGTTGATGAAAGGAAGGCATTTGTTTAAATGGAAATTTATGGAAAATGCTAAAGAAACACATTTTGTCATTCATATTTTCAAATTATTCACTGGCTTTTTTGTCTTGTGAAGTTATTTTTCACTTATTTTTGTACAATTTTTTAAATAAAATTAGGACACTTTTTACCCAATTATTACCTTATAGCCTTATTTTGCTAATTTTCAGATAAATGTATCCTTACATTTTGATCTGTTTTTAATTTAATTTCAGTGATTTATTTGACAGGGACATTGTAGATTCATAAACATTTCTTTTTTTATTATTATTATTTTTGCTAAATAGTGAGCTCCAAGCTATTTTGGTGGGTAAGCAGTATGTGTCATGTCTTTAAATATTTTCTTTCTTTTGAAAGAAAATGAGAAAACCAGGAGTCTGGCCAGTAGGCCTCAGTCAGAATTTGTTTTAGCGAATCTGTAAACAAAAGTCTCTATGTTTCCTTTGTCTGCACAGGTAACCTTGGAGACGTCAAGACGCACCGCTTGTAACAGCCAAGAAATGATTGCCAGAACACGATCTTATGTTCTGCGGTTTCCCCAGTAACTTTGTGTTCTCAGGTGTCAGTTAGCAGAAGTTTAAGGCCAGGTTTTGTCTGATCATTTCATCCAGCAGCACATTCTGTCGCTGCCTTTGTCAACGCTGAGCCTGGGAGAGAAACCCAAGGCCTCGTATTGTCACCTCCTTGTTGTCTAACAACCATTGTTTTAGGCAGTACAATATACAGCAGTTCATTACGTGCATAAGTCCAACAGTTGGCCATTAATAATTCTTACTGTCTACTCTCTACACCCAATGCCTCCTGATAGCCAAGTAGCTAAATTAGCTCGGAAGATTTAGGGCGACAAAAGATGGATTAAATTAAAGACAAATATAAGGTTTGGTAAGAAGAGATGTACTGTAGCTCAGCTGTTACCAGTCTTTCTGTACCAAGGACTGCTCAGCTGGTACCAGCTGTCACTGTGGACCAGGAATACAGCATCATTGAAGGATCATTACTTTTTCAAAATAAAACATAATTTAGTCTCTATTCTGTTAGTGTCAGAGTCTGAATGAGCTGTTGTTTTGAAACATTGACAGATGAAAAAAGTAAAGGGATATGACTGAATTATTTTGGAATGAAGTAAAACTGCAGTACTGTACATTTTCCACTGTGTCCCACTATATAACAGGTTATACACAGTGTGAGGCCAAAACAATTAAATTAAATAAAACAAAATACAATCAAGAAGATAACTAAAATATCACAAAAGGTTGATCCAAATAGGTAAAGGTTAAGCCTAAAATAGCTTGTAGATACATAAATATGAATAAATAACCGTAATTGTCTGAAGAGACTGAAAAAATACAACACACATTGGCAGAGTATATGTTTCTTCATTAATCTTTAATGATTGATGATCGGCGCAATTGTGACCAGTGGTCTATTATTTTACACCATTTAAAAATATCTTGTTTCAGTGGCAGAGTTGGTTAAAATACCAATCGCCTTCTTTTTAACGTAAGAGTAATGAGAACATGTTTTATCGTTGCCATGAACTTTAAAACTTGTCAGAATAACGCTCATGGAAAATCAAATCTGATCCAGTGCAGGTCAGCTGTTCTTGTTAAAGTGATCAGACTCAGACTAATATGTGGGACATTTCAAAGAGAATAGATAACAGTATAACTTTTGGCTAACAGCAAGACATTTTACAGACAAAACAATGGATGTAAGTTATTTGCAGCCAAGAAGGCAGGGGCTTTTCTCTCATGCCTGAAAGCTGAGATAATTCAAAACCTGATAAATTAGGTTAATTGGAAAATTTAAACTTTTTTTTTTCATTTCATAAAATGTCCAGTTAAAACAGTGTAAAACTAATAAGTCCCTTTGTCAAAGCTACAAGCTGAAAAAAAAAGGATAAATGATAAAACAATGCAAACTCCTGCAAACATATGGGTTAATCATGTTTGGTGTTCCTCAGGGCTTCAGTTTCAGATACCTGAACATCTCAATAACCAGAACCACATTTCTGCTGGTTTTTTTTAACTCACCATATAGGAGTTCAGAAAAACTGAAACTAGACTCAAATGTTTCACACGAGGAGTTGTTAAACAGAAATATTGATCTTTTACCAAACAACATAGATATGATGACATTTAGACAGAACATCCTTGACTTTTCTTTGATAAATAAAACATTGTATGAAAATTGTCATCGTACACTATTGATACTTAATACTTACTTCAATAGTGAAATGACAAAGTGAAAAGCTTTATGTTCATTCAAAAATGTAGAACTCCCTTATCTTTATAATTTCTTGACCTTTGACCTTTGATTGTACTGCTCGTTCACATTCAATAATTATTTGAGTATTTCAGAGATAATAGTTCATCGCACTTGGATAATTCTGACCACGATGTACCAATACATTGTGTTGTGTAGACAAAAATGTAAAAACTGTATCTTCATCAGACCCATTAGTAAAGTAGTTGTTGAATAGATGGTGCTAGAATCCTTAACCTCAAACCTTCTGGGTAAAGTTTTCTGGGAAAACCCCTTTGGCTGAAATATCTTTCTTCTGCATCCAGTGAATCTCCTTGAAGCCCAGGAGCCAACCATCGTCCTGAAAAAGAAGAGAATACAAATGTAGCTCCTCAGTGTAAATATCAACGACTAACAGCTACACAGGGCTAGATTTACATATAATGGTGGTTGGAAAACAGCTTAAATTTAGGAAAAAAAATTTAAACAAATCAATTAGTAAAATATTGTCAAAGCGTACAGCAGAAAGTTAACAAGAATAAAACTTTACATCAAATACCACTGTAGTAATAAAATCAAAAATAGCATGAGTCTGACACCCAGGACTCTCTGCTAGCATGCTAGCAGCTACGATACGGAACCACAGGTTGAAATGTGTTTAAGTTTAGTAAACAGATCACAACAAATGAACCAAAAATAGAAAGGAGAGAGACCAAATGAAAAAAAAATCTGTTTTGTGCTAGGTTAGCTAAAATAACTACAAATTAGCCAGAATTTCATATAATTTAGCAGAACTCCTGTAGGAAAACAAGTGTAAGAAGGCTAAAGGTTGGCCAAACATACCTTAAGTGAAAGCTAGGAAAACATACAGTAACTGTAGGTCCAATATGTTATTAAAATATTTAGCACCAATTTAGCCATCTGGCTAACAGCTAACCTCCAGCTAAGCTAGATACAATGAAACTGTGCATTACCTACAAACACTTACAGAAAAATCCAACAAAGGCTACATTTGTGTCCGAGGGCAGACTGTAAACAACCTTGGAGACTTTGAAACACCACAATATAAATACAAAATGGATGTAATGGAAGTCACCTGTTCATCTGGATTATCAAAGGCCACGACCAGCACCACATCGCCTATCTTCAATTCCAGCTCGTCACCATCAGTGGCAGCATAGTCGTGTGTTGCTTTCACCTAAAATTACAGGCATGAGCCACAAAACAGGTTTTTAATTTTTACTTAAAACCATGTTTGTTCTCCACCAGGATATTTTTAATCTCACTTTGTAGAGGAATCCTGGAGGGAGGTCACTACCAGAGCCGTTGGTCACAGCACTCTGTATCAGAACGACATAAGCAGAATGCCTTATGAAGCTGTTGCTCGGTGGACGTGCGTTGATGAAATATGTCAAACCAAGAGGTGAAACAAAAAGAGGGTTGGTGTGGACTGCAGAATATGAAGAAAATCTAGACGTCAGGTGTTCCAACAGCACATGGAGGTTCTACCAACACAGACTGTGGACATCAATGTCGCAAAAAGAGGCTCCGACAAAATGAGTTTCTGGAAATTTCCCTTTGATTTTACATGATCTTGTAGTTTTTGAGTAGAGGTCAGGTTAGTAAATTACAAATGGTGAAGTAGAAGTGTATATGAATAAAAGAGGGAGTGAGAAGGAAAGCGAGTATGAATTTGATTGGTCTCCATCTTCAATATAACTGCACCCTATTACCCATACGCAATCATAATTTACCAAACGATCCTATATACTAAATGTAAAAGGGCGGGGGCTGACGATTGACATCATCTGACCTAAGTGACTATCGATCAAAGGATCTTTTAGATAAAACTACATTGTATACAACTGTGTCTCTACTGAAAATAGCGGAGCAGCACATGTGTTCTACAGCCTATGATCCAGACGGTGTACTATATACCTGTTCTTCTCCATCACCATCCCAGCCACCCTGCTCCACACTGGCACCATCCTCATTCTCATCATTCCAACTAGGCTCAGTGTACGACTGCCCTTGGTCGTAGTTCCCGGTCTCTTGACCTCGATCTGGGTCTGTATCCTCCCAACCAGATGGGGAATAGGTTTGGTCGTTGGATTCATGGTATTCCCAGCTACCTTGTGCCTCGTGGTCATTGTATTCAGATTCCTGCTCTGTGGGTGCGGGTTCTCGCTATTGGATTTACAGGTTGGTGTGTGTTGGGTTGGGTTTTTGGAGGAATTTTAAGGCGGGTTCAAGGACATTGTAAGAGAAGGGATTGTGCAGAGGAAGATAATGGAGGGAATATTCAGGAAGGGCAGATCATGTTGCTGTCCACGAATGAGGAAATGAAAGCAAAAACCTAGAGTTGAGTTGAATTTTCCTGCCTGGAACTAATGCTTACCCAGGAATCCCATGACAATGACTTCCGTAAAGCATGAAAAGACGAGACAACCAGTGAGATCATAAAAGCCTTCATTATGAAATCAAACATCTAGACCACAAAAGGAACACCAAAAGATTCTTAGGTGTACACATACACGTCACTTTATTAGGTCAACCTCACTAACTTATCGATATGGTCCAGACAGCCTTCTCAAGTTCAAAGTGAGTATCAGAACAGAGAAAATGGTGATACTGTACAGGTGACTTTAAATAGGGATGTCCGATATAAACTTTTTGCCAAAATCCGTGTACAGGTGACTTTAAATAGGGATGTCTGGTATAAACTTTTTGCCAAAATCCAATATGATGATAATGTCCAAACATGTCTCAGGCATTATTCATTATCGGAGGAAAACCAATAATGTTACATCATTTTGCTATATAATATCTCTTGGTCGGTATACTATCGGACATCCCTTATTTTAAACCTGCGATCTTTGTTGACTGAAGACTTCACAGGATTGTCTTGCACAATCTCTCTAGGATTATTCAGAACGTTATTGCAGCCTCTCGTTGAAGCCTTTCTAGAAAGATCAAAAGCAGCTCTGAAAGCACAGGAAGGTCCAACCCAAGACCAGCAATATGTACCTAATAAAGTGGCCATCAAGCGTACTAGTCAGAGAAAACATGACAAACATGCAGATAATGTCAAATGGGCATGCATATGTTACACCATGCAAGGCAAAAAAAAAAAAAAAAGAAAGAAGAAAGTTAAAATGGTATTTGTATTTGATCTTATTTGATGAAATCTGGGCTGACATTGATTCCCAGAAGAGTTTGTCTTCAGATTTCATCTGAAAATCTTTTTTCTTTTGTCCTAAACCACACGCACACCAACCTTGGGATCTGTGAATGTGACTGCTTGTTGTTGGATGTCCACATCCCAGTCCAGCAGACTGAACCCTGACTTCTGTAAATGTCAAAGGTCATGATCCATATGATGCACTTTGGCTTTTATTTAATCTGCATTCATTTTAATTAATTTAAACAACTTAAGTTTTTAGGCTGTTTCAATATGTTACTGTTTCACAAGTAGATAAAATATAAAAAGATAAACTGTTATAGAAAAAATCACAATAATAGTAAATCTATCGTTTGTTTATAAATCCATATTTTCCACTGCATATTAACTCTGGTTGTACTGAACCAATGTTTAGTGGCAGCAATTGTCATTTGTGGTGTAGTTAGCAGAATCTGGTGTCCCAGGTCCAGTTTTTATCAGTGAATAAAAGTCAAAAGTACATTAAATGAACTAATTAATTAAAATCACAATTCCTTAATTTCCCCAGTTGGTCTAATCATTTTAACTTTTAATTAAGATAAAGTTAGCTCTCTATCTTAGGGCTATTTTCCCATTTTATCTCATAATTAGGATTTTTTGTTAACGTTGCTCCATTTTTATCTCCCTATCAACAGATTCTATGTCATAATTAGGACTATTTTCTTCATCCCAATGTCTTTTTGCAACATTTTGATGTCAAAACTGACTTTTCTTTTTTTTACCATTCACAATTCCTTATCAAGACCTTTATATATATATATATAAACTTGTTTTAAAGAAAATACTAACATTATGTAACTTTAAAAAAATATTTGTTATTCTGTATTTTTGTTATGAAACTGTCTGACATTATCTTTCCTGTGAAAAGGCAAAAACAGGATGTTCTGAATAACAGTAGTGCTGCCCCTACAGGAAGACAGTTTCATTACAGAATAATAATGTAGAGTTAGTCAATTCTTCTGACCTGCTGTGTAGCTGCGGTGCTGCAGTCTGGGTTAGTGTCAAAAACTGAAGCCTCGTCCTCAAACACTCCAAAGTGCTGGTTCTCCTCCGGAGAAGACGTCGTCGACCTCCGGGGAGGCCGGCTCGCAGGAGGCCCGGGCTTCTGCTCCATCAGCAGTGAGTTAGAGAAGATCAACACATGCACACATGCAGATGAGTGAAGCAGCAAAACATACAAGGATTATTGTAATGAATCCCATTTTTTAGAAAGCTAAGAGGATTAGCAACGATTCAACCAAGTCTGGGACATGTAGTTGGAAATGTTCTTTTTTATTCCTGGAAAAGAACAAAGGAAATATTCTTTTTGTTAAATGAAAAGCGAGAACATGAGCAGAGGCATAATTTGATTTAGATACTTGATAAAGTCAAACACTCAGTTAGGTTCGTCAACTACAATAGGGTATAAAAGGAGCATCTACCAAATGCAGGTTTGGCCTGGCTTAAGGAAATCATGCTGTCATCCTATTTTAAATCAAATAATTTATTTAGTTTTCTATTTTTTTCTTGGTCCCTTATCCTGTTAAGAACTTAGGAATCAGATATTTTATGGCCATTTTGCTCTAAAACATTTTTGAATTTTTGTCTCGTTAAACTTTGTTACGAAATGTGCTCTCCAAAGACCCGTCAAACTTAAACACTACGACAGGTAGCAGAACATCAGGCGCCCATGCTCATGTTGTTATGCAGACCATGATTTCTTTCCTTACCTTTGGTGCTGAGCAGGCTGAGTCACTGTGGTTGGCTTCATCACTGAGATAAAGGGAGGAGGGAGACAGAGACGTAAATGAGCCACAGGAAAAACAAAACACTGAAACTTATTCAAATAAATGTAGATTAAGGCAAAAGCAAAGCAGTTGAGACAGGCAGCTCCACAGAGGAGGAACACAAACATGGACAGTTCACAAAAGAGGTAGAAAACAGGATGCAGGCAGATTGGACTGGATGAAGAAGAGTATCCAGGAGATGAAGACGCTGAGATCTTAACTGAGAGTGACCAGGATGGACAGGATTGGAGATGAGTCGATCAGAGGGACAGTTAAGGTGGAGATGGTTTGGACATGAGCTGAGGACAGATAGTGGAGATACTGGACAAAGGATGTTGGAGATGGAGTTGACAGGAAAGAGGAGCAAATTGACCTCAGAGGAGATTAGTGGGTGTAGTAAAAAAGGACATGGAGATAGTTGGAGTAAAAGAAGAGGAGGCAGAGGAGATGGAGGCAGATGATCTGCTGTATCCTTCAGGGGTGCTCCCTGAAGGTGGTAAGAAAAAGTGCAAGTCCAAGAAGTTTGTCTAAATCTGAAGTGGAGCTGAGTCACCTTATAGAATCTCTGTAGGTTGTGTTTAAAGTAAAAAGTCGATAAAGACGATTATAAACTAAGATCAGTTCCAGGGACTTTAAATCAGTTCCTGTCACCATAAAACCATGAATGAGTCATTTATTCAGGGTTTCAAATCCAGGTCCTCATCAATGATAGAGCTTTGACAGAAAAAAAAAAAGATTTTTAGCTGACATGAGCGGCCGAAGTCCACACCCCCACACTGAAAGTGTTTTTACTCTGTGCAGAAGGAGCTTTTACACAGGAACACACCAGGCTGCCAACACTGGAAACAGGTGCTGGGAAGGTACAACATGAGCAGCTACATGACCAGAGGGTCTCCGTCCAGTCTGTCCTGGAGGATGAAACTGTCACAAGGACAAGAGTCAAATAGTGACCTGAGATACGATCATGTGACTGGGAGCTGATAGGACAACTGACTGCTGTGTTCTCTCCAATAGCAAAAACTACTACAGTAACGTATGGAGCGTTGGACCTGTGTCACTGTTGGACCTGTGTGTGTGTGTGTGTGTAGTTTCTCCTCTGTCGATGTGATGACATCATTAATGGACTTGTGGACTCGACTTCAACTTTATTGTCAGCTGAGTCGACCTGAAGAAATCAGAAGTCGTCAATGCCCTCATCAATGAAGAAAAACTTTGACTCTAGTCCAAGTGGAGTCCCAGGTTCTTGAGGCAGATAAAGTGTCACTGCAGAACAATAAGGTCCAGGTGGTCAGTGCTCCAGTCCATGTTAGGTTCTGCTCTGTGCCACTTATTGACATTACATTTCAGTTGTTAGTTTAAAGTTATGGCCCAGGCTGACACAGATGAACCACAAAGAACAATGTAAACAAAAGAAGTAAAAACTGTTTAACATGAATGAAACCCTTCATGCTCCACAGACAAGCATGCAAAAAAGACGTCACATTACTTTTACCTCTTAGCACCTTCTCCTGTCTGGGCAGCCGCAGTACCCTCTTTTCTACAGAAGGAGTCAGTGTGACTAACATTATTCTCATGTACTTAAATCCTGGAGAAGAGTCTTAACAACCAGGACATGGTGAACTACTGACAGGACGTGGACATCATGCTGATGTCTCAAATTAAAACAAACTAAATTCTTTAGAACTTCATAAAGACTACTAGCAGAATGGTCTCAGTGATTTGGACATGGACTGAAAACCATGTGTCACAGACTCAGACCTGAGACCCAGTGAGCGCACAAGTTTTTGGGGGCATGAAAACTCCTTCAGTGACTCAACCAAACTTCCATAGGCTACACCGCTCTGACATGGAGTCAGAATTAAAACCTTCCAGTTTAAACTAAAATGACTGAATGTTACTTTAAGGGTTTTCTTCAGCAACTGAGACTCAGCCATAAAGGCAACAGGACTTTACTAAAATCAAACAACAAATGATTCTTTCCTGTCCAACATTCTGAATCTAGGACTTGAATCAGTGTACATTTTTTCCGGTCACTTACTTGATCTGCCGCTGCTCCTCCAGTTTGGTCATGATGTCAGTCAGGTTTTGGCTGAGCTGGAGAAGCAAACAGAGCAGGTGTACATAACCAACGGTCTGTGTCCTCTGAGCTTCCATTAGATTGGACAGGTCCACTCACCTTGCTCATTTCACCGTGAAACTTCTCCTGATGACCTGCCAGACTCTGGAATGTGTTAACATAGACGCCAACACGACTGTGGACACACACACACACACACAAATGAAGTACCACACATAAAAAGATAAATAGAACCAAAAGAATAGACTAAAGCCACTCAGATCATTTAAACAGGTGCTGCCCCCTACAGTCTATAACTAGAAACTGGCAAAAAATACCAATTCTAGTTCCATTCAGGAGAACGTTGTCTCACCTGTCCCACAGAACTGGAAGCTCATCTTGTAACTCCACGTTCAGCTCTTCAAAGATCTTCTGAGCTCGGCCCAACTCCTCTTCTGCCTGTGCACACACACAAACACAAACACAAACACGCATTATTACAACGCGTATCCTCTTTGTGACATTTAATCCAAAACACAACACACAAACAATGGTGCACACAGACAAACACAGACAGGGTTTAATGGCTTCAGACATGTGAATGCTGTCAAGACATTCAAATGTCCGACATTACTAACAAATACTGTGAGGGGGGCAGTTCTGTCAAATGCAGGTCTGATCGTGGGAACCAGATTATCCTCAGGCTCTGAACACATGATCGAAAGCTAACACTATAATCAGAGAATCATAAGAATAAATAATTAAGGTAAATATATGAGATATATTCTAAGACACTACTATGTATTTAAAGTAAGATATAATGATGTGATTGGTCACCATTATCTGGTGTTATGAGGTGTACCTAAAGAGTGGAGGAGGAGTAGGGAGAAAGTACAATCTTTTCATCAGTTTTGTCTTCTGGAGCACTGCTCACATTGCTGATCGTGTGTAGAGAACCTGTGCAGGATGTGGTTAGCTACCAGTTTTGAGATGTGGAGGAGGGAAGGTGGAGGTCAGTGGATGAACCAGAGTTTCACCTGGTTGTAGGAGAGGTTAGTCTGAGCCACCTGGTGGGCTGATATCAAACCCTGAGCCCAGCTGGGAGCCGCCATCTCCAACAGGGCTGCGGGCTAACCACACACACCATGCAAGAGGGTGAGAAAGAGTGAGAGAGACAGAGAGACAGAGAGAGAAAGAGAGAGAGGAGGTACAAGAGCAGGCAAAAAGCAAACAAGAACAATTCAAGACAAACGCACAAAAATGTTAATAAACAGTCATTAGATATTAGCAGCATTATTAGACAGACAGCAGCAGCTAAAGGTACACAGCTACAGAGCTAAACGTTTGCCGTTATAACTTCAATCTAGACCAGTAGTGTCCAAAATACACAAAATATTATGTTTCACAATTTTTAACAGTTGGAGTAGAACTAAGATACATTTTTTAGAGCCTCAAGAAAATTAAAAATTATTAATACAAAGAGAGGCAGCTACGTTAGGAGGAAACATCATGAAGAGATAACATCAATTCTTGTACTTGAAAAAGTAAAAAATAGTTCAACTTTAGCTAGAAATGAATTTATATTTATTCCAATTTTCAAAACTGAATATATTTTTAAAAAAATCATCTTCCCAGCCACCAGGAGTTTACAGAAAATATCTCAAATGGGTAAGTATTAGTTAGTCAAAATATAGCAAAATGGCCCAAATTTGCTAAAACCAAGTCTATCGTTAATGTGACGACACAAACATAGACACCTGGACATTACCTTGGCAATCTTGGCCTCGTCCTTCTTCTTTCCCTTCTGTAGAGAGGAAAAGTGATGCCTGGCGCTGTCAAAGTCCACCATCTTCCTGTCTCGCTTTGCGATGCGAGCCTGTAGGCGACAATTACAGTTTAAGTTGTCTTAAACAAGTGGTAACAATTTTTTTTCTTTTTTTCTTCCTAAATGTGCAACCCTACCTTGATATCAGGAAACTTTATCATGTACGTGTCCATGCACGTCAAACATTTTTCCGTGATGCTCTGTTGGTAGTCTAACCACAGCGTGTCTGTGTCCTGGAACGAAATTTGAAAAGAAAAAGCTAAATATAGAGGTTGGACGATGGGGAAGGATTGAAAATAGTTTGGACATGAGTAAGTAAATAGACAGCAAAATAAATACAGCCAAAATGGATAGATATAAGTTAGTTTAGGAGTGGTTAAAATGAGACAATGTAGAGCAGAAAAAAGCCACAAGCCCTGTTTATGATTGTGGACTGTATAAAATGAGCAAAAAGAAAAAAAAAAAAAATTCCACCTGCTGTCCAGCAGGGTCACTTCCTGTCTTGAACGTAACATTTCTTCACATTTTATATACAATTTAAATAACTGCTTCGACTTCCTCTGCTGCAGAGTGACGTCAGTGTCTCCCACGTGATTAAAAAAACTGGCAGCGGTTTATTCAATGTTAGGAAACAGTGTCATCTACAGGCCAAAAGCCGCATGTGTCCTCAAACGTGAGTGAGGTTTTTTTAAGGCATTGATATATTATTGAAATGATCTCATCAGTGGGAAACACTGGACTTTCTGCAGTTTGTTTTACCTCCAAATTATTGTCCATCTCCTTCTCTATCATCTCCTTTGGATGGAGGAGAAATGCATGCAGTTAAGAGACAGAAGGGAGGAGGAAAAGAGGCTGGAAAATGAGCATTAGTTACTAAAATCAGATTTCTTTCTTCTGTTGATACAATGAACATGGAGGAAATGTTTCACTTAAAGTCAGGTAAAAGGCATGTACTGAAAAACTGCATCATGAGGACATTTCGTGGTCTGACCTCTGCCAATGCGTTGACCTCTTCTTTGCCAAACCACTCGGGTTCGTACATGTCGGCCAGACAGTCCTGCAGCCGCCGCGATGCATCATGCATGGCTAAAAAACACAAAATCAAAGTAAATCTGGTCAGAGGAGTCCAATACCAAGAAACTATCAAACTGAAATAAGAGATATTTATTTCACGCATTGAGTGAAGAAGTTCAAAATCTAGAGTTCACATCACATCTGTAGCCAAGAGATTGGGTCATTAATTTACCTAACGATCTCAAACTACAGCAGGAAGCCATGGGAGCTAGATGATTACCAATTAATACCAGTTGCTAATTAAAAGTGAACAATTAACCTTTCTCTATCATCTATTCAGGTACAGTTACCACAGTAACTGATACAAGAGAGCTAACCCACTGCCACTGTGTGGTTAAACTTTAGCCATGGCCTAAACCTAGGTAGACACTGTTTAACATGTGGGGCCACAAACAGCAACAATTGTAAGTGAAATACAAAAAAAAAAAAAAAATTCATAAAACAGTGTATTAAAAATGTTCTTGTCACAAAGGCCCTGCTCCAGGTCAGAGTTAGCCTGAGTACTTTGCTAAACATGAGTAAAATTATCAAACTGTGTTATATTTTATTATATATTAAATCAAGAGTTTACTGGAAAATATGAGCCACTTGAGCACAATGAATTACATAGAGACCTCAGTTGACTCCAGATTGTGGTTTCCAGATCGAGGCCAGACAAATGACATACCTTTCACCGCAAGAACATAGGCCTTCAGGTCTTTCTGCAGTTTGGAGCCTTCTGCCTAAAGAGACAAAGTTACAGAAGGTAAACATAACGTTGAAACAACAAACACACAAAGTTTTCTTCATTTCCTACAAACCGTCTGCTTGTTGAATTTTGCCACCATCTCCTCAAAGGCAGCATCTCGAGTCTCATCTGCTTTGCCAAGCTTCTGCAAGACCTGCAACAGAAACAACAGACAGACTTAGCATTAGCCAACGCACAACAAAATAGCTAATAACACAGACATCAGATAAGTATTCAATTGGACTATGGACCAAACAAAAGAAAAGTAGACAAAAACCATTGAATACAAAAATAACAAAGGTGACCAAAAGCTAGGCTGAAATATGATGAGTCAGTCAGAAATAGATTAGAAGTTTAAACCAATTTTAGAAACTTTTTAGAAAAGTTTAGAAATTAGACCAAACATAGAAAACAACTCAGTAACAGAAACTTTCCAAAAGAAAATTAAAAGGCCAAAATAAATAAATAAATAATTAGACACTGTTAGATAAAACAAAGCCAACAGCTTAACGTTAGCCAAAATACATAAATGGTAAAGTTTCAGAAAAAACTAAGAACATTATTAAATCTTTACCTAAGATGTACTCAACAAATGACAATTTGAATTCAATTACAATAAGCTGAAAGAAAACTAAACGTAAAGGCAAAAGTAGCTTCATGTCTGTAACATATAGAATACATTAGCCAGAAACATAGCAAACACATCTGCACGTTAGGATAAAAATAAAGAAAATGGTATTAAACAAAGACACAATTAATTTAAATAAATGAGAGATTAATAGATACAAGTCAGACAATAAAGAAAAATAATTAAACAAAACCTAATTAAAGGGCAGGAATGACTAACAAACAGACTAAACGTCTGAATCTAATTCTTGATGTGCGTGAAGCCGTGTCACTGCTGTCACTTTGTTCCTCTCTAAAACTGAAGGCATGTAGTGAGTCTATTTACAGTCTGCCTGTCAGAGCCATGTGTCTCCCCTGTGTCTGTGCTCCACGCCAGCTGTCTGTCACTGCGTGTATGTGTGCAGATGTATGCGAGGATATGGAGGTCAGGGGTCAAGGCCTTTGTCACTTGCTGACTCATGGAAGGCACTGAATTAATTTCAGACTTGGTCCAAACTTTTTTAAACAACATATTGACCTGAAGGTGCAGCGCTGCTTTTGTTAGATGCTATAAGACAGAGGTCTCAGCGGGGGTCACTGACCCCAAGGGAACTATGGAGCTACTGCAGGGGGATTGGGAAATTGGTTCAACAAAAAAAAAGGAAAACCACAACTATATGAACATGTGCTAAACATTCATAGATTATCATTAAAATACACATTAGATGTTGGTATGAAAAAGATAACTGAGCAACCATAGTAGTCAGAAAACTTTTAATTACCTTCACTGTCTAATATACAGCATATTCCTGGACAGACACCTTGGGGGCCAGACAACCATTACATTATCACAGTTTTGTTGAACATTATTTGATCTTTATTCTGGAATCCAGTCATGGACCAGATTAGATGGTTTGGTGCTGCCTGTCAATAATCACTGATTTAGAGGTTTAACCAGTATGACATCAGCTCTACATATTAGAAAATTCACCATGACACTCATTGGCTGCTTAGTGTGCCTTCTGTTATCACATTAAAACAAACAACCACCTCTTCTTCTACAGTACTCTCATCTCTTTGATTAAATACTTAAAAAGGGAACCAAAGAGAAAATAGAGGTTATATTTACAAAGGTTACGGTTTACTTCTTAGGAAAACTCCTTGAGTAAACAGAGTAAAAGTCTGCGACCTTGTTGTAATCAGGTCAGGACGCATTTAATTGCAATCGAAATCTCCTATCAGTACTTTATCTTCTGTCTGCATTCTGACTGCACAGATAAACATCTGCCACCTAGTGGTGAGGCCATTGAGGGACACTGTGACTAGACAAAACAGGAGGAATGAGGAAGTTCAAGTCTTCCCACACACAAGGTGACTAATCTGACGGCTGATGTAAGAGCTTCCATCACCTGGAACACCTGCCTCAATCACAACCTACCCACCCCCACACCTCACCCCCCCACCCATCACTTCCACAACCATCAGGTCTTTCACCTACACCTTCAGCACCACCTCAACCAGCTGCCTCCTAAAACCTTGTGAGAGATACTGAAACCATCATCGTTGCAACACAGGGACTTCCCCGGTGCTCTCTCTCTCTCTCTCTCTCTCACTCTCACACACACACACACACACACACCTGCTACATGAGCATCGAAACACTTACTGACAGAGTCTGTTTATAGACATGGCAGAAAATACATCATAGTTATTCATGTGGAGATCTTCAGCAAGTCTGCAGTTCAGAGAAACAAAGGAAATACACAGATTTAAAAAAAAAAAGCATTAGTTTTTCTTTTAAATGAAGGGTTTTCTTCCCTTTAGCAAATATCATTTAACGTAATTTTGGATCAACTACATCATTTATTAGTCATTCAAGATCAAATATTGCAGTTATTTGGCTAACATATAGCCAACATTTAGTCAGTACTGTTAGCTACCTTTATTTTTTTGATTCAGTTTTAACTTGGTGCCACCGTTTGGCTATTTGTGCTGTATTTACCTGCGATAATCTTCAGACATACTGTATGTTAGCAAACGTTTAGCTACATATGTTCTTATCTTAGCTATATCCTAGCTAGTTCAACAAGCATCTGTTCTGGTCTAAATAAAATAATAGTTGAAATGCAGTGGCGTTGACTTAGCCCTAATTATAGTCCAGAGTGTCAGAGGAGGAGCAGCTGCTGCTCAGATACTTTAACACTATCCAAACCAGTGGTCCCTAAAACCAGGACACTCCTGGTTTTCTGGAAAGGTCCATTTGTACACTTTACTGTAATGTTGGATAGTAGAACATTCTGGAGTGTGTTACTGTAGTTGTAGCTGTGAGTGTGTCCAGAGAAGGTCGTAGCAACGGGTGTTCAGTTTCAATCCCAAAAATACATCGCAGGCAGTTTGTGGGGTATTAAGAGTGATAGAGAGAAGGCCGGTGGGTGGGGGCTATAGATAGATACACTTTTTATACACACACAAACACACACACACATATCTGAGCCCCTCCCGGGAGTGAGGCATACTGAGAGCTGTTTGAGGAAAGGACAGGTGTTGAGGCCAAAAATCAGGGTGACTTCCATGTTTGTTAACTCTGGATTCCAGTCACCGTTCTGGAAGAGTGGTCAAAAATATTTATGCACACAGTTTAGAGCTGAAGTGTTACTGTGGGGGTGGTGTTCTTTGGTTCTGCTGCCTCTCCTCTTCTACAGCAGCAAAATCTCTCCAGTATTTATCTTTGAAACAAATGTATTTTACTCTTGTCTCTGTGGTTATTCTGGCATCAACAGACCAACAAATTTCTTTTGGAAATTAGATATTTTTTTTACATCAGTCAATATTGTTGTATTCATCAGAATAACTACACCAAACAAATGCAGCCTGTTATAAGGACTAAAGGCTAGTACTTTTCAGAGGGTCCTCGCTTTACGACATCCCTGACCTACAAAGTTTCGTGCTTATGTCCCCATGTCCCATAATGCTATTTCCAAAGTCTTGTTCCATTATTCTGAGATACAGCGTTAAAACAGATTTCGCACAGGAACTAGTTGGCAAACGGAGCTGCGATATCAGGCTGTGATATGCGCGGAAGACAGCTTTGTTTACGTTCACCCGTTGTAGCCCATACCATGGGTTGTGCTACATTCACTTTCTTTCATTTCTGTTGTTATTGGGAACTTTTTGTCCTTCATTACGGCTCCAAAGTGTAAGTCAGACTCTTCTGATGTTTCCATGTCCTACATTATGACGTTACCACTGTGTTAGCATAGGTGAACGACAGATGCACTTATGTGCAGTATGCAAGTTCCGACTTACGGAGAAGATCGAGTTACGTCACGCTATGTGAATGAACTCGGTGAATGGCAGTAGGCTACAGGTTGCAGCCAACAACAGCTCTTCTAATTTTGTTTCAGCTCCCCCTGCACATCCTGCACATATCAACCCTACATCATCTAAACACCAGTCTTCATTGTTTTCACTAAAAATAAATATTGACGCTTTTGTACTGTAGATAAAGGCCACCCATACTGTATGTAAGGGGCATGAATATGAAAAAGTGACTACACAGTTAACTAACAAGTAACTGTGGTAGGATTTCAGGGTGTGTTCTCTTCCTTTTAGACTTTCATCCATCTGTAAAACTCCCTAGCTAGCTCTTTGGCTGCTTTTTGCATTTGGGCTAATATTTAGCTCCATTTGCTACATTGTAGGTATTTTGGCCTTACTTTGAGGTTGTGTTGTTGGCTAATTTGGCTGCTTGATTATTTTACAGTATTTTATTGATAATTTTCATTCATTCATTTTGATTGGTTTGGCTTTGGCGTTTGTTGTTTGTTTATTGGCAGAATTGTTGCCTCGTATGCTAAACTCGTAGAGCTAAGATGTTCATTTGTCTATATTATTTATTTATAATTTTTGGCCACCTCTTAATTCAAAGCTTTCTCTGGTCTATTTTTTCTATTTTGACTTTAGTTTAATTATATGCAATGTTTCTTATTCTTGGGCAGATTTGAATGATCCTATTTTAATAGGATATTTATTATTTATTTAAGTTACACATTTTGGATTATCTTATCTTGGCAAATTCTGAACATTTTTATTTAAGTTACATTTTATTTAATTGTAATTTATTACGTATGACATTTATGGCACATTTTAAGACTTAAGTCTTAGATGCTGTCAATCATATCAGTAATGATTTCCGAACCAAAATTTATTTGCAATAGCAATTCAACAAAGGCATTTGTTCTGCACCAAATACACTTGTTAAAATGCAGTGCACTTGGTTATGATCTCAAGTGTCACTGGAAGAACAGCAGTTGGTCCTCGGGTATTTTTACATCATCAAATCATGAAGGCCATCTTGGAAAAGTTTGGGCGGCCCCTGAGTTAACCCTACAGCTAACATCATGACAGAAATATATTGGAATCTAAAATCATATAAATGCAAAAATAACAGTTTCAGGTCACGGGCTCATTTTAAACCTGTTTCCTTCTGGTTGTCATATAAAGTTAAAGAGCAGGAGGAGAGGAATGGTGGAGGACAGCGTGCCAGCAGACAGACAGCTGAAGCCTCTGCTCCCCTCCTCCACCTCCAGCTCCAGCCTTCACAGGGAAACTGATACCCTGGCCTTCCACCACACTCCCGCCAGCAGCAGCAGCAGCAGCAGCAGCGACTTTGACTAAGGGCTGCAGTATCACCTGAAAGCCTGACCTTTATTTATGGTCACCGTGTGGATTCCCTTTCAGATTAAACCTAAAACTTGCAGATCAGTACTGCATTTGAAGGCAGACACTAACAATGCAACAAGTAAAACTAAAACACTACTCATAGAATTGCTGCTGAATGAAGCGTTAAGGTCATGCTGTTACTGGCAGCTGAGCTGAAAACTGTGTCACAAATGGACTGGCATCATCTACAGTTATTAACATGAAATATAATTAAAATAATATGAATTTTATTTTAAAAAAAGGGCTCAGGACTGGCATCATTGATGATACAGAAATGCAACAACAGCCAACACTACAGCCAAATACACCGTAGGTTAGGTTACATTGAGGAAGAGGCTTGTGTTTATGTCATGGCCTCACTTTTCCCACAATTCAAATCTTTTTTCAACAGGAAGATTCCACTTTTAGACGAGTGTCCAGAGTGGGGAATTGCAGTTATACACTACATGTGACTGACCGGCCTGACTGCGGTCCAGAGCCCTCTTCTATTGAAAATAATCACTTGCAAAATATGTCAATTTGAGCAGCAGCTCCTCTTCTGCTGTTGTTCTGAGGTGATTAGAGCCTAAAAGCTCAGTGGGGCTTAAGCAACCGCAGTGATTAGCACCATAATACCCCAGAGTCAGACACAGAGTGTTGATCAGGTTTCATTGCTGCACTTTTAGACCTGGTCCTGCAGCCCAGAGTCAGAAACAGTCTCCATTTTTAATGTTCTAATCCCCAGTTTCAGTTTTTTATCTGAATAATTAAAGGAAGTTTCTCTTCTTTTGTTCTATTTGTCTTCATCACCTAAGGTGAAAACCCCCTGTTAGCAGACCCCTCTGAACTGCCCTCCACTTTCACACATTTCAATGGAAACACAGCAAACAGGTGTCTTATATTAGATATATAGCTCTGCCATTAATAATGTAGAATATTGACACTATCAAATATCATGTGAGATAATGGTCTATTTTTGACTCCCTCCAGAGGAAATCCCCTGCTCTGCAGCTGCCTTCATTTTTACAGTCTTGCTCAAGGACACTTTGGCAGCATGTTTAGCCTCTGGGTGTATCTGCCCATTCAATCACAACACACAAAACACTATTTGCACTGACTGAACACCAAATCAAATTATGATATTCTTGGATATGTGCAGAAATGTCAGGGAGCCGTCGGCAATGAACAGCATCACACTATCATTTGTTACATTTTAGATAAACACGTGTCCTGTGATAACTCCGACCTCATGGTCCACAGTTGATGCTACTTTGGTGTCAACCTTGGGGCTACTTCAAAGCTATCAATATGCTAACTTTTTGCTCTATTCTTGGGTAATTTAACCATATTTTGGCAATGGTTTCACTTATTTAACCATATTTTGGCAATGGTTTCAGCTAATTCTAACTATAACATTCAGAAAGACTTAGCTCAGGAAGTTTCTACTCATCTTACAGTATTGTAAACATTTTCTAGCCATTTTAGCTCACTTTGCTTTCTGCTCCACTTTTTAGCTTACCGTGTAAGTCATTCACAACAACTTGTAGTTTTTGCTACAATTTTGACCAGCTTTTACCCTGCACTACCTTTTTCTCTTTTAGGTTTTCAAACTATTTAAGCCATTTTGTAGCTATATTTGCTGGCTATCATTTGACTTCTGGTAGTCATTTGTCATTTATTTAACCACTAAAATATATTCAGGAGTTTTTCAGATGCATGCCTGCCATATTTTCAGCAATCTATTTGAATACTTCTAACAGTCTAACCTTTAGTTTTATTTTTGACTTGTTTTTATAACTTATAAATATCCTGGGCTAACTCTGAGCTAGTTTTGCTATTAATGTTCTGTTGGGTTTTTGGAACTTTATTTCACGAGTACTGGTGTTGATATACAAAAATGTATCACCTCAAATTATGAACTGTTATTTTAAACATTGCACTGAAATCAAGTTTCTTCTAAGCTTTACCAAAATGAAAACCTGTCACTGTCGAATTCCAGGAGCTAAAATTCAGAAAGGAATTCAGTTGCTGGTGAAATTCGAGTCATTTTGGAACCAAATTCAATTGTAAGTAAAAATACTTGGGTAAAAACTGAAGATATTAAAGTCTATACATCAACAGACTTGATTGAATTGAATTATGGTGAGCAATCGAGTGTGACTGGATTGAACTTTGAAGGTAAAACCTTTGAGGATCTTGTTTCACCTGGAGTGAGTGACAGTAGGACAGTGGGACATGTGAGCCTGCGGCTCCTCTCCTACCTTCTCCTGCGCTCTGCTCAGTCTTTTCTGGACGTTGATGGCCAGTTTCCCGGCGGTGACCCCTTTCCCTGTCTCGGCCATGGCTCTGGGTGTGGTGGCCCCACGGCGGTTCGACTCGTGAGCAGTGAGGAAACACGGAGACAGAGGAAGAAGGAGTAGAAGTAGAGCGTCCCCTGTGGCAAACCCCTCCTCTGTCAGTCTCTGCCTTACTGTGCGTAACTCTAATCCCGGGGACAGCTTCTTAAAGGTGCTGTGCGTAATTTAATCCGGGTTGTGTGGCAACAATTAAGAGAGCAAAATTAAAATTAAATAAATTAAAACAAGCAAAAGAAAAAAAAATGAAGTGACTGATTCTGCAAGGGCATACAAACAGGTTGAGGTTGTAATGTGACTGATCTGACAGTTAAGTGATGGAGACCTGAGCCCAGGAATGACACACTCTCAGGTTTCCTCCTCCTCCTCCTCCTCGTTCATCCTCTTAAAGGCGCAGCAGGTTGGTGGTATTTATTATTAGCGGACAACTGTTGCGAACACGCACGCGCACACCCTCACACACACACACACACACACACACATATACACACACTAGTTTCTTTTACGCAGGTATTTCCTGTGCGGTTTCATTCAGCTTTGACGACCAAGTCAGTCCACGTGTTCTCATCATCATCATCATCATCATCATCACCATCATCAGATGCACGTTCGTTCAGAAATAATGAGTTTGAGTTGTGTCTTAAAGAAACCACTAGATGTCAGTAAATGTGCCATCACCTCAACTGACTTTACATTCATTTGTAATTTCTGGCAGAAATAGTTAAGAAATAATAGTTACAGTAGTGTCGAGGGTGTAGTTAGGCCTCGACAGATAACTGCTGGGAATCGAGCCCCCATCCTACCCCATATTTCCAAAAAGATGAATTAATCAATTAACAACAGAAATGACCAAATGTGATGTGTACACTAACCCTAACCCTAAACCAAATCATAACCTAAAGTTTGTGAAGTAAATCATTAGTTGTCAGTTGGACCGAGTTTAGTCAAAAAATATTAGCTGAGATTAGGATAAATATTGCTAAAAATATGCATGTGCCCAAAACAGATTTTAGGTAAAATACAGCTACTGTAAGGATTGGCAAAAAATAATAATAATAAAAAAAAATAACAAAGAAGAAGAAGCTAGCCAGTTAGCTAATTAGGATCAGAGAAACAAAAAATAAAAAAATAAAAAAATTAAACCAGAAATAATTAAAATTTAAATAAAAAAGAATGGCTAAAAAGTTTAACCATTAATAATAATTTATATATAATATTAAAAATTAAAATAAAGTAATTCAGTCAGTATGTTAAAAACATCTGCTAAAATACAACTAATTCAGAAAATCTTAGCCAAAAAAGAAATAATTTAAAAATCACTTTAATTTAGCAACAAATTTAAAATGGTAGTAACTACAGGTAAAGTTAGCCAAGTATGCTAAAGGATGGCTTAAATTTAACGATTAAAAAATGTATTAATTAATAAACAATTATAATTATTGTTACAATGATAATTATTGTTACAATTATAATTGTTTAAAACAATTAGAACCTCAACAAATGGTTTAAACAGCTAAAGATTGACAAAGAATGAGAAAAAGAAAATTACTTAAAATACACAGTTTGTTTCCATATAATTTAATTTCAAAAAATAAATCTTTGTTATATATCTTTGGTCATAGCACGTTCATAATAACATTACTGGATTCTTAGGTTAACAAACAAGACTTAAATACATATTCATTTGTTCTAAACATCCGTATCAAAGCATTTATGTTACATACAGCTTGTTTTTTAAAAAAGAGCACAGCAGCATCACCACGTGGAGAAGAAGAGAATTGCTCTTTACTGAAGGGTTTCACCGGGAAATTTTACACTGTCATGTCCCCTGACGCAAACATTTTAGTTTATTACATTTATTGGTAAGGTTAGGGATTTTGGTTTCAATGTCAAGTGCAAAGTATTATTATTTAGAAAAAACATTTTAAAATATTTTGTGTTAAATCTATTTTTTACCTTTTTAAATCCACTTATTGATGATTCATTAAATCCATAGGAAAAAGGCGTATTTTTGGCAGACACAGTAGCTTCTGGTCTACTGCCCCCTAGTGGTCAGTTGTTATCATTGTGGTGGATATGAACAAATTTTAAATGCACTTTGGACAGAGGATAGATTTAAATAGACTGACGGAGGCAGAACAGCCGCTCCGTGCTGTGCGTCAGAATCATCGATTTCCTCTTTGGAATTTGGTGCAGACAACGACCTGGTTTCCAAGTGGATTCATCCTGCACAGTTAAGGTTAATCACCCCCGCAGCCTCAAAAATATTTGAGACAATTTTCACTCTATTGCTCCTTGTTTCTTTGTCTAAAATATGTCTTTTATATTTCAATTTTAAAAATACATACTAAAAAACACAATTTCTGTATAAACTTTAAAGAAACAATCTCAAACCTATTCTGAGTTTTCAGATGTACAACTGAATTGCACCTAAAAACTATGAGGGGGAAAAAAGTCCGATTTCAAACTTTAAATTCAAGGTCTGACACAAAAGTCACGTCTAATGTTTGTAAGATAAAACGGAAGAAAGTCATGAATCCAAAAACTGTAAACACAGCAGATTTATAATTTACAAGTCAACTGGCAAGTTAGAGCTTTTGTTATAGAATTCATAGCAAAACATTACCACAAAACGTATGCTAATAAAAATTTAGATTTAACATATAGTTGTAATATATATATATATATTATATATATATTATATATTTATATGTTGCTGCCTTAGAATAGAGTGAAAACTGTTCCTTCATGTAAAAAGTGCTTGAATTTCTCACAGAAATAATTATTGTATTTTGTTGTTATTCCATAATTTCATTGTTGAAAGTAAATTACAGTGTGGTTAAGAAAAGCTACTCTGTTATAAACCAAAATCCCAACTCCTGTCCCTGGAACATTAAGGTGCTCGTTGTGTTTACTGGTTTTAAATACTTGAGATTATTAATGGTGTTTTGAGGACATTTATTCTCTGAGTGTTCTTCCCCCCCCACCGTTCATCTTCTCACAGATCCTCCTCTCCTTCTCAGAAGTTCAAGGTGACTCCTGCTCTGAAGCTCAGCAGGTTTTGGAACCACAATCCAAGAACGGATCCATTCCCCATGGTTTTTTTTTTACCCTCACCTGTCATTCTGAGCCACGCCCAGAGGGTGGAGCCGTCCAGTGTCCAGCAGCAGCGTTCCCAGCCAGTGTAAAACCCTTGAGTACCAGTGGACCCCGTCACCGTGGCCTCCCGTGGTGCCAGTCCAGCTATGCATCAGCCTGAGTGGGGTGAAGGCCCAGTGGGCCAGAGAGTGCTGCTCCACCACAGCGTAGCACGACACCACCACGCCGTCCACCACCAGTGTGCCCTGCTGGGTCAGAGGCGCAAAGACCCCCTGCATTTGTCTCAGGGAGACCGTGGTGACCCGAGACAGACTCCCTGATTTACCGTCCAGCACCAGCACGCACTGTCCCGGCCTGACGTCGCTGGTGTACACAGCTGTGAGTTCTCCCAGCGCTGGTACTGTTCCCTCTGAACAGTTCCCTTCAGAAACAAAGATCAGGTGAGCGGCAGTGAGGGAGAGCCGTGCCCCGGATTCTGTCTGCAGGGTGTAAAAGAGTTTCTGGCTCTGGGGGTCTCGGTCCAGGAAGGTGAGGACTTCACTGTAGACCAGCTCATCCTGGTCTGTCAAAGCCAAGACCCGTTCACCGGGCCTCAGGTCTCTGATGGCCTTCTGAAGGCCACTCTCCAAGGTGACCTGAGCCACTCCGGGGAAACAACCTCCAGACTTGGCCGCCACGGAGTGATCTGAAAGACACAGAAGAAGCAAAGAAATCAAAACATTTTTTACATACTGTAAGTTGAAACCAAGTCACTATAGTCACTACAGTATAGGCTTCTACATCTACTGGCAGCATCAACATCAGCATGAAAGTTACATTGTATAGTCCAGTGTTTCTCCAACTGTTTCTACTCTGCTCCACCTGAGAAAACCCTGATCTCTGTGAGGAGCACCATGATGACCAACATTAGAATACAGCAGCAGAGGCCTTCACTGTTAGCCTCCACCACAGGAGAGATGTTTAGACAGATGTTTATGTTTAAATGTTGTATTAATTGTCCATGGTATGTTTCATATTGATTCAATTGAAAATGTAAATGTGAAAATCTGAATTTTCCCCACGTACCACTAGAGAGCGCTTGTGTACCACTGGTATAGTATATATAAAATATACAGTTAGACTTCAAAGGATGATAGAGAAGCTAAACTTTGCTAAAATGAGAATGACTACAAAGCTCTTGGAGAAAATAAGTAACTGTTTATAGATATAAACAAAATGTGATGAAGAATGTGTGTGTGTGTGTGTGTGTGTGTGTGTTGCTTCAGATCTTCAGGGTCAACACTTAAAAGCCGTCAAGACTATCTGGGAATAAATATTTAGTGAAGGTAGAAAAGTCCAGGTCATGTGATAGATAAGTGAAAAGGAGGTGAAGGAGGTGAAGGAGGTGAAGACGGAAGGAGCAGGGCAAGAAACACAGCCAGCAGGTTAATGATCACACACACTCCAGGCTTCACACCCAGGTCACAGGGTTTCAAACATAATCACGGAAACAACTTTTTATTTACGTACGCTGTATTAACAATACAAGGAATTCCAGTCGAAGCCAGAATTCCAAACACAGAATCAATCAGACTGACTGACTGAGATGGATGTCTGAATCATAAGAATGTTTCCTACGGTACTTGAAGGTCACAAAATCACCTCCAAACGTTCATATAGACCTAAGAGAAGAGGGTGAAGTGTTTGGCATCAAAACGACTCATTGATTTGTTGATTTAGCTTCTTTAGAGCAACACCAATACTCTATGATCTTTTAGCTTTTAATTATATATAATCTAATTTGATTATATTATTTTGTAGATAATTTGTACCAACACCTATATATAATCTAATTTGATTATATTATTAAGCTTCTGTCGATAATTTGTACCAACACCCTTTTCTCCTTATTTAGGCAAAAAATGTTGTATATGGCTTATCTTTAGCTTTCATGCTATTTTAGCCAAATTACAGAAACAAGATTGTGCTTTTCCTGGGATTTAAAAAAAAATCCGTTTCATTATATCTACTCCTGGTGCACTGCTGCTCTCTGGTGGTTCTTGCCTTCGGACGACCTCCGTACAGGTCACAGCTCCTCCCACAATGTTTAAGTAGCAAAGTTTCTTTGTTAATGAAAGGGTTTAGACAGAAAACAAAAAGGAGAGAGGATAATAAAAAAAAGGAGAGAATTTATCAATTACAGATAAAAATAAAATACCAACTTGATTGGTTGCCCTTCTGATCAAGTCAAGGACTGGGCCCTCGCAACCCGATCTGGTAGAGAAGGAAGAAAAGAAAGAAAGAGAAAGAAACAGAGGGAAAGGGGAAGAAAGAGAGAAAGAGAGGGGAAAAGAAAAGAGGAGAATCTCATTACTACTCAGTGTCAAATGTGTCAGGGAGTGTTTAGGTGGGTGTTTTGAATTCCGCTGCATTGTGTGACATTTAGCACACCCATGTGTCTGACTTAAAGTTTTGAATGACACTGTTGTGTTACTGTTAGGGTTAACTGCACGTTTCCAGTACTCAAATATATTGTCTTGTGACGAGCTGATGAAATTGTAAACATGTGTAACCAGTAGGTGAAACAGTATGAAATATGAACATAAACAATTATTCTAAGGCAGGGGTTCAGGGCCACACCACAAAGATGCATGGTTTGTGTATTTTTTAACTGTCAACATTCATCAAGCGGGCCATATTGAACCCCCGAGTGGGCCAGGTTTGGCCTGCGGGCCGTATGTTTGACAGCCCTGTTCTAAGGTAGTTTTTTATATTATCACATAGCAATGCTTTAGAGCAATGTAAACAAACTGTCATCATAGCATAAGTTTGTACTTTTTGCACAGCACTGTAGTAGTAGCTAATCTAAGTTATATTATTGAGAAACAAAACAGTGACTTCAAAGTACCAAAAACGTCTTCCTCAAATGTCACACATTCCAAATTTCCACTGTTGTTATGTGAATTTGGAGGAGTTGGATCTTAAATATGCAAATTCAAAGTGATTGTGACCTTTGAACTATTAATTATTCATTGAGAACTTTAAATAAGACGACAGTGGTATCTGGAGATGTGTGTCTGTACGCCGATGATTCTGCTGTATGCATTAGAGTTGCAAGAAAGCAATGAGCAGCTTGAAAAAGAAAATAAGGAATACTGCCGTTTGTAGCATGGTAAGTGTCAGACCAGTAGGAATAAAAGAGGACAGAGTGTATATATTTATAGGATATTTAAAAAAAATAGCAAGCAATCCTTCGCAAAACACAGAAGGGAAAGTAACAATCCAAGAAAGAAAACAGTGAAATAAAACTAAGAAAAAGCAACAGAAGCTGTTTTTCAGGAGGAAATTCTGTCACTTTTTGGACTGAAAAAAAAGAGAAAACACTTCAACAAGACACCTTTGGTTATTAGCACAAAATAAATGCAGTGTTTCCCCCCCCCGCCCCCTCCAGCTCTGGTCATTTAAAGGTTTAGGACCCCATTAGTCATAAAGTTAGCACTAAATTTAGCAGTGAGAAAACAGGAGTAAATGGGATTAGTAATATATCAAAGCTGAACAGGAGGGAGGAAAGTGAGAAGTGCTGTCAAGTTTCCAACTCAGGTTACGAGGCTGTGGTTTTTAAGGCACCAGAGCCGACCTGGTTTATAACAGACTCACAAATGTATCTGCAGAGAAGGTGGATTTGTCCGTTTTTGTTTTTTTTTTTCTCCCGGAGTCTTGTGTGTCTCTGTGTGGTTTGGTTTAGGCGACAGAAACATTTGACTTCTGACCAAAGAGATGAGTTAGTGAAGTTTGAGTATAATTTTAGCAAATGAGGAACATTTCACCAAAACCTCCATCGCTCTCTGTAGTTTGTAGCCTTTAAGCAGCAGTGATTGATAAAAGCTGATTTGCTGTTCAGGGGCAAACGGCCTCATGTGCTAATTACTGTAGGTCTATAGAAACACTTTACACAACTGTTAGTGCAGGGGAAATGTTGTTTTATATATATATATATAAATATATAAACATATATATATATATGTATATATACAGAAACTTTTCAGCTTTTGTTATGCATTTATATCAACAGGAAAGTTTAAATTCACCTTTAAAATGTTATCATTATAAAAATCCTTGAAAAAAATACAGGAGAGAAGCAATAAACATCAACCAAAAGAGATTTTAGTTTGTGCCACAACAGCGTTAAAGAACGATGTTTACTACTAAGTTAATTACTAAGTCAAGAAGCCAAAGGTCTTTTCCACATTTTTATACTACGTCTATAAATAAAACTAGGCCACAGTCTTCAAGTTGGTTGAATTTTTTTTTTTTGCATTTACCCTGTTGTCTGGACATTTAGCTTTAAAGTCTTACTTTTTAAAAAAACAACCCTCTCAGAAACTGTGCGTGTTGTCTCACCTGACTTGACGCTGCAGTGTATGTGGGCCTTGGACTCATAGTAGACCCAGTCAAACCCAGCCTCCACCGCCAGTCGTGCCAACATGGCGTACTTGTTCCTGTCCCGGTCTGAGGTGGTGATGTCCACCGCCCGGCCCTCGTAGTGCAGCGACTCCTCAGAGTGATGGCCGTCCTCGTCCCAGCCCTCAGTGACCCGCAGGCGAACCCCAGGCCAGAGGTTCATGACAGAGATGGCCAGAGAGTTAAGCTTGTCTTTGCAGCGCTGCAACAGAAGAAGAAGAAGAAAACCCTTAGTCTACTTTTATGATCAGGTGACCTGACAAGAATCTTCCTTCTACGTCTTTTGCTAAAGCATTGCTGCCACAATGCTTTAATTACTTTAATTTCTCTTTTTACCAGTAGAAAAGTGAAAAGATAATGAAAATCTAAAGATACTGGACTACCTTAAAAACTAAAAAAGCAAAGAGTAACAGAAAGGTCAACCTACAGGAGACACTGTGACCTTCATGGTTACTGTCATCAATTTCTAAAACAAAAACTTTTATTTGCACAATGTTTGGTTTATTTAGGGCAAGAAGAAAGGTAAGTGGAGGTGTACAGCTACAGAGACAATGCCAACAGATGGAAGGGATACAGACTCATATATAGACTAAATAATGTACCAGCACACTCAACAGTGATCAAACTGTACTCATTCTACTTCATGAGGTACAGTCAGCCGCAGCTACATTCTTCACGGTAATCAACGCTAACTCAAAGTTTTTTTACGCTAAACTATGAAGTCAAGTCGAGAAACCTCTAGACTCTGACTCTTTACAAAGAGCCATTCTGCCTGTGTGTATCCACTTCAGGTAAACCCCTCTGTCACCCATTACCCCGGTCACCCCTCTCCCCCTTGTCTGTGGCTTCTCTTTTCCCACAATGCACCCCTGCTGTCCCTACCTGAGGCTGATGTTTGCTCACTGTGGTGAGCGAAGGGAGCCGAGAGGCTATGTTAGGGATGGGGGGCAGGGGGGGGGGGTTGAAGGGGGGACTGTGGGGGTTTAGGGTGGGGGTTTTAG